TCCAATACTTATAGTGTCTCTAAGTGAGCCTGAGCATCTTCAACTTTAATGCTTATGGGTTTTTCTCAAGGGTACCTTAACTGTTGCTTTCTAAGAAAAGTATTTACTAATTAATTACATATTTAGTTCTGCTGTATTTACTGTATTTCTGACTGGGGAGAGGAGATATGAATGAGAGGAATGGAGAGTAAAGAAGTGGTTTAAATGAGAGATGCTTCTCAATTTACAATCAATTATGATGTCTTTTGTTAGGAGGAGTCTTTTTCCCTCTTTTTCACCCTGATCCATGTCTCAGACTTTGCCCTGTTGGGTCTTTGAATATGAGGGGAAATGGGCCTGTCAAGTCCTTAAATAGTCCTTTAATTGGAAATTGAAAAGGTGTTGGATGCTAGTTTTTAATATGCTAAATAATAGACTTTCTTAATATCTTATGATTGATTAAAACTCCTTTTTTATTATAGAGGAAGAAAATCCCAAATGCAGCCTCACTAATCAGAATACCTTTATTAGTCCCACAGAGGGGAAATGTACGAGTTACAGCAAAGAAAAGAGCCACAGACAGCTTAATGTTACATATGTTACATGCATTAAAAAGTACTAAGTTATGATATAATAACAAATATTATAAAAAATAAATTAAAAAAGTTACATAGTTTTCAAAGAACACATCCTGTAACAGTTCTTAGGATTTACTGTAGCAGCCAGGTATATATAGCACAGTTATTAACGGCATATATTGCACATAAGTTTGTTGGTATTTAGCAGCAAAGGGTGTTATAGTCTGTGTAGTGGTCTGTGTGTGTGTGTGTGTGGGGGGGGGGGGTCTACTAGGGGATGTGCTGGTTGTAAAGTCTGACCGCTGCAGGAAGGAAGGACCTGCGGTATCTCTCCGTGAGACAGCGGGGGTGCAGCAGCCTGTCGCTGAAGGAGCTGCACAGTGAGGACAGGGTGTCCTGGACGGGGTGGGACACATTGTCCAGTGCAGTTATGTGCAACCAGGAATATTTTCAGTGCCCTCAATATAGTTGAACTTGTCCTTCAGGGGTCAGTAAGGGATACATGAAATTATCTCACGGCTAATTATAAATCCTGCTCCTCACACGACCCCTGGCTCAGTCTGTATGATGAAGACTAATTCACGTCTTGCTACCAGGTATTAAGATTCTGACAGCGTTTACCTGCAGCTACCTGCCCGGCCTGTAAATGGATCGTTCAGGTTTTTATCGCGCGCCCGTTCTGATTGAAAGTTTCTACATCAGTCATCATAAGACAGAGGATGTGGTGAACACTCATTCCCTCCTGGCACTCGCTAAGCTTCAAATCCCGACCTTGTTGATGCCATTGCAGAGATGACCGTCCCCAAACTCTCCCGTTCTGCATTAGATGTTGTCGTCACCTGTCTGCAGACCCAGACACACCGAGGCCGTAACATGTGGCGACTTCAGAAGGCGCCCGGAGAACCCCCTGCTTTGACATTTCATTATATTTTTCATTATATTTCTCATCCCTTCAGTTGATGGCAGTCGGTGCCGTGACTGCTCAGGCGTGGCGACGCTTTGCGCCGAGCACACCTCATCTCGTCTCACACACACACCCCAACACACACTGAATACATTGCTGCCTGCGTTGGTTAACCCCAGATTACCGCTTCCTGTTTACAAGTCGAAAGGTCACGGGGCAGGCGGGGGGGGCTGCAGGGGGTTATGACAGCTATGACACCCCATTTTGATCTGCTGTTATCAAGTTAGCCTGATGCATGCAGTCAGACTTGACTTGCTGAAAGGATGTCTCTAAACAGCTGCCTGTAATGTGGTCTGTCTGAGTCAAATGTAAAAGCTCTGCTTGCCCTCTTTGCTCCCCCTTATAATGCAGCCAGGATTACCCTGCAGATAAAACTCTAAGCTAGGTGTGTTTTGCTTTCTTGTCAAAGCCGTCATGCTCTCCACACCACTGGACCCAGACAGCCCGTTTGTAGGCCGGCCCAAAGTGCAGGCCCTGTTTATCACGGGGGGGAAATACCCTGCTCCTAGATTTGGGTCCGCTTGTCTTTATTCTTTTCTACCTCCACCTGCTCACTGTACAAGAGACAGTCTGAAAGCTATTTGTACTTCTCTCTGTGAAACTGTGTGTATTTCTGTGGCATGTCACTTATTTAGGTTTAGATTTCAAAACGTATTTATTTGTTAAGAATCATATATTAGTGAAAACCCATCCAAACTTGTTACATTGTGAAGACAAAGTGTTTTATTAAGAAGCTGCAAAAACCCAATGATGTTTTTTTATGGTCTTGGCAATGAACCTGTAGTTTATGATGTATTTTCTTTTTTTAAAGGAGCCAGCACCTGTGTCAAGTCCCCCCGCTGAGAAGGTGAGTACAGTTTGACAAGAGAGTAAGAGACAGCAGATGCGAACATATTCTCATATATCCATATTTGTGCAGTCAAAAGCTACTTTGGAAACTCTTAAATAATCCTGTATGGGCAATCTACAACCACTTATTTTGTTCATCCAAGAGGTGTGTACAGGACTGTAGCGAACCATTAGCATTGTTTTAAGTCATTACGTTCGTCCTGTGGTTGCACACAGAGGGTGCTTTCCCGTCAGGAGGAGCTGAAGGAGAGAGCCCGCCTCCTCCTGGAACAGGCCCGCAGAGACGCCGCCATGAAGGCCGGAAACAAGAACGTCCCCAACTCAGCCCTCACTGCACCCAACAGGGCCACCAGCGTCTGTGATGTAAGTCAAAGGTTGAAGTGTGTGTGTGTGTGTGTGTGTGTGTGTGTGTGTGTGTGTGTGTGTGTGTGTGTGTTGACAATCCTTACTCTGGCACATCTAACCACAACATCAAAGTCTACCTGATGCTCACTTTGGGTCAGTCTGGGATGTTTTTCAGGTCTGTTAAAAAAAAGTAAAAGCTGTCCCGAGTTTAAATTGTCTGTCCCGGCCTCTCTGCTCCGTGCACTGGAGTGTCGTATAGCATCGCCTCAGTGTGCTGGAACAACTAATAGAGTGACCAGCAGCCTCTTCAACACCCTCATGTCACTCCCACAGTCCTTTTTCGCTGCTCACTAAACTCGCAACATGCTGGAAAAGCCTCTGTCATCCACTTTGTCGAACACTTTATGGAAAGGCTTTAAAAGGAAGGAAGACTTTTCCTTATTAACTTCTGCTCCGACTCTCTTATGGACTGCTGAGCGTCACAACCTGAACATGACAGTTAGGACTTCCTCTTCTCTCTTTAAACATTTCGTTCCCACCTTGGTCATCTTGACAAATTTGCTGCCCCCTCAATTTCTGTGAGCAAATGTGGTACACAAACACCTGTCAGCAAAAGTACATTTGTGGTAAAGTGGGGTTGGAATCGCTGTTCCGAAGCAAACTAGACTAGAGAAGACGTGAGAGAAATTGCCCGCTCTGAACCGAGCACGCTCCACTGAACATAATATACTGGGAGGAGGTGGTGGGGGGGGGCACACTGATGGAGCAGGAGTTACCCTGGGAAAGCACTGTTGTCAAATCCTCAGTGACGTTTCCCAAATGTTTCACAGAAAGGGAAAACATCTGGTCTTGTGAGAATTGTGACGACAACGGATTTGAGGGTGAAATGAAATAAATACCCTTTGGTAATGAAATATCTGAAAGGCAGCAGCCGCATGCCCCTGCTCTCTCTGCTGGAATCCTTAAAGAGATATATGCCCTTGAATTATTTTTGTAAACAGTGTGTGTTAGTGTGTGTGCCTGCTTAAGTACATAAGTCTGTGTTTGTGTCTGCGTGTAAGCATCCAAAAATGTGTGTGTTCATGTTTCCGTGCAGGCCACAGGAATAACCATTTCAGGGATAATCCGAGGAATAAATGAGGAACTTCGAAGGACTGGTGGCGTTAAAAGTCTTCAGAGAAAGAAAGCAAATTAAAAGAGTTTTTCAAAGCTGTCGCACTGCCGATATATTTCTAAAAAAAGGTCCTCTTCTGTCCCTTGTTGTGCGGCAAGATAGCTGACTCCACTTAGATTAGCTCCTTAAAGTCAGACCCAAGCCTTCGCCCTTCCCCCCTCCCCCCCTCTCCTCCTGATTTCCTTACTCATTTCCAAGGACAATTGGTTAATAACCCCGTCACACACACACACAAACACACACTGATCCCATGCATAAAGGAAGGAGGGGCGAGCGGAAGATATTGAATTGTTTACACTTTTTTTAATAGAAAACATTGATCAAAGGAATACGACTGGCCTCCGGGCCAATGTGCTGATAATTGTTAGTGATTCAGATTAGATTACTTGATGTCTTGTTTTGATTAGCGTGTGTGTGTGTATGTGTGTCGGTGTGTGTGTGTGTGTCCATGTTATCAGCTGAAGAGGCCCAAGCCTTTCCCATTTAACTCTCCATCCGTCTAAGTAGGTGCTTTGCGGTTTAGCATGCATAAGGTATAATTTAATTCAATTAAAGCAGGCTTCATTCTTCCAGGGAAGTGGCTAATGTGGGGGCAACACAATGATTTTGGAAGGGGGGGAGGAGGGGGCTGCATTGGATGTTTTGGGGGTGAAGCATTCAAGGCACAAATGATACATTTGTTCAAGAGCTATTAACTAAACTCATGTGTTATTCAGAGTTAACATTTTTATTCACCAGTAAAATCCCCAATCAGTAAAAAGATATGAGTTGAAAAACTAAAATATTAATATGTTGCTGCATTCATTCTCTAAACTGAGTAAGAGCATCTATTCTAATTGAGTTTTATTAAGGGTCAGGTATGTTCACTAATGGGGCTTTTTTGCTTAAAGGAAAAGGTTCATTATTGAAGCCAAAACCCTCCTGAACTGCTATTGATGAGAAGCTTTCTGAAATATGGTATTTCTTCAAATTAATTTGTTCACATCTTAAAGGTGGGGGAGGTAATTCCCTTCAGAAATACTTTTTGTTATATTCCATGGAATGCTCTTAACATCCCGATAGCAATGAATACATTAAAGGCTTTGACAATAAATACATAAAAAAATGTTCATCTGTGGAAGCCGTGGTACTGTAAAAAGCACGAAAAATCATCTGAGCCGGCCCGGCTAAAATAACTGGATGGCCTACCTGCCTGTCAGCCTTCCATCTGTGCACAAACTTATCTCGTGCCCTCATTGGTCATGTGAGCGTTCGTGTGTGTTGGAGGAGGGGCTCTGTAAGGAAGTCTGAAGGAAGGGGCAGATTTTTTCCAGCTGTGTACTTTCAAATTCTAGCGCACTCGAGCTGGTTTCTCCCTTCTTACCTACCCTACCTTTAATTGCCCCCATTCACTCAAAATAAGACATTTTTGTAAATTACTAAATTACTAAAATGGTAATTTTTTTTTCTCCATAAACAGCAACTTAATAAAATGTGTGTCTAAAGTCTTTCTCACATCACACAGCTGTGCTTGTGCTCATCAGAAACACATCTCTCTCTTTAGCAAAACATGTTATAATTTTTCTCGCATCTTTTTATTTAAAGGGTGGGGTAGGTAAGTTTGAGAAACCAGCTCGAGATACACTTTTTGTTAGTGATCCATGGAATGCTCTTAACATTCCCGAAAGCAATGAATATCTTAAAGGTGACCTATCATGCAAACATGCAATTTTGGTACCGTCTTTTAAACCATGAAAATGTGTCCACAGTGTTCCAGGGAACTCACCAAGTGTCAGAAACACGAACCCTCCTCTAATTTTCCTCCATACCCAATCTCTTAAAAAAGGGGCTGCAACGGAATCTGATACAGACTGATCCAGATTTGAACACTTCTGTGACATCACAGAAGTGGCGCTACGGCTAATTGGGCCAACTCTCACAATCCAGATCAGGAGAACAGCCACGGAACATTGCCGTTGGAAGCCGCTGGAGACGCTGTAGTAACATATGCCAAGGCCTGTAGATGGTGCTGTTCTCACAGAATCAGCCCATGCAAAGACAGTGCTTCAATTGAGCGAAAATGAGGAATGGCTAAATGACTGGATGGCTACCTGCCTGGTCAGCCCTTCCCATCTGTGCACTAACTTATCTCGTGCCCTCCATTGTCATGTGCGCCGGTCGTGTGTTTGGAGGAGGGGCTCTGTAAAGGAAGTGGCAGATTTCTCCGGTTGTTTTATTTTCAAATTCTACGCGCACTCAAGCCTGGTTTCTCCAAAAAATTAGCCTACCCTACCGTTTAACATGAATACAAATTGTGTGTGTGTGTGTGGTGTGTGTGTGTGGTGTGTGTGTGTGTTGTGTGTGTTGTGTGTGTAGTGTGTGTGTGTGTGTGTGTGGTGTGTGTGTGTGTGTGTTGTGTGTGTGTGTGTGTGTGTGTGGTGTGTGTGTGTTGTGTGTGTGTGTGTGTGTGTGTGGTGTGTGTGTGTGTGTGTGTGTGGCTTTCTGTTCTGCCTTGACTATCGCTCTCCCTCCTGCCATCCCCCTAATTGTAGCCCAAGCAGTCGACTGGTTCTTCTGCATCAAACCGAGGTCCACAGGTTCAGTTTTCCTCCCTTTCCTCTTCTGTCCTCCTCTCACCTGCCTCCCCTCACTCCCTAAAAACCCGTCCATTTCCACCACTCCTTTTTGTGTCCGTCTATTTTCATTCACTCACCTGTCGTTTCTCCCTTTGTACTATCTGGGCTCTCCCCCTGGTCATCGTCGTCAATCCCTGTCTCTCCATCATCTGTGCGCTGTCTGTCCCTTCTCTGTGGTCTTTAATGGGTGCAACGCAGTACTGCAATTGTTTTTCCAGCCCTCCGGCTCCTCCCCTCTTGCCTACAAATAGGTGGCCCTTCCATAGTGCAGATGTCGTTGTAATGTGTAATGTCACAACCCCCTAGTCAGCACCAGCAGGAGCCCTGGTGGGGAAATGAATGAGTTTTGCTAAAAAAATATTAAATCCAATCATTCTATTGCTCTAAATGTTTAGCTTTTTTAAGAAAGATCGCCCACGTTTCTGTTTGTGTTTTTTTTTTAACTCTTTATTAGTATATTGCCAACTGATAGTGTGTGTGTGTGTGTGTGTGTGTGTGTGTGTGTGTGTGTGTGTGTGTGTGTGTAGTGTGTGTGATGTGTGTGTGTGTGTGTGTGTGTGTGTGTGTGTGTGTGTGTGTGTGTGTGTGTGGTGTGTGTGTGTGTGTCGTGACTATTCGCTTCAAGGTCTTCCATCACATCCTAAGCAGATGAGAGAGCAGTACTTTCACACGGCCTTGGCCAGGCTACATTATCAACGAATCCACACTAAGTGTGGTGTGCGCTGCGGAGCCACAACAAAGCGTCTAGCCTCCTGTGTGTTTCTTTGCCCAAAAAAATATGTTTGCAAATTATAAAGCACCTGTGCGCTTTTGGCGATCTTTAAGTGTGTGTGTGTGTTGTGTGTCGTGTGTGTGTGTGTGTGTGTGTGTTGTGTGTGTGTGTGTCGTGTGTGTGTGTGTGTGTGTGTGTGTGTTTGTGTGTGTGTGTGTGTGTGTCGTGTGTGTGTGTGTGTGGTGTTTGTGTGTGTGTGTGTGTGTGTGTTGTGTGTGTGTGTGTGTGTGTGTGTGTGTGTACGCACATGCCTGCAACGTGGTTTTCCAGGTAAGAGAGTCCCCTGCTCACCTGACTCGTGTGATTCCTATAATTGGGTCCCGGTTTGATTTTTGGCCGACCCCAAACACGACCACCCTCCTCCCCCATCTCCCAACTCTCTCCTCCTTTGAGTGGAGGGGAGCTCTCTGGGGTTCCTCTGCTTTCTGTGACCTGGTGGGTGTTGTCATCTACTACCCCCCCATCTGCCTGTCTGTCCTTCTGATTCCTGACTTAACTGGCATTCATGTCTCCCATTTAGCTTCCAAGTCCCTCCCCTGGCTGAGCTCCTGCATTCCTGACAGTTCCCAAATGAGAGCATATTTCATGATCAGTTAAGTAATCATAAATTCATCAACAGGCCCTAATTGTTACCCTGGCTTTTGTCCCCCTAAATTGGATGAACACCGAGATATCAGCTGGAAAGTGAAAAGAAACATTGTAAGAGGTGACACCNCAGTCTATCAATCTCTCCCTCTTTCTCTCCCTCTTTCTCTCCGCCCCCCTTGGGGTAAATAACAGCATAAAAACACACAGAGAAGCTTTGGGAGTCAGAGAGGGGGGCGGAGAGAAAGAGGGAGAGAAAGAGGGAGAGATTGATAGACTGGGGGAGATCTACAGAGGCAGTGAAACAAACGCACAAGGCAACAGGTTGGAATTAGATCAACACTATCAAGCAGCCCAGATACAAGCTGTGATACCTGGGAGAGGTGTGTGTGTGTGTGTGTGTGTGTGTGTGTGTGTGTGTGTGTGTGTGTGTGTGTGTGTGTGTGTGTGTGTGTGTGTGTGTGTGTGTGTGTGTGTGTGTGTGTGTGTGTGTGTGTGTTGTAAATGTATTTATTTACCTGTCATTGGCTGTAATAGCAAATATTGTCTATTTATGTTCATTGAAAACATTTGATAAAAACGCTTTAATTTCTAATATTGCATAAAATATATAAGTTTGAATGCCCCATGTCTATTTTCAAACTTCTTTTCACACTTTCATTAACGATTTCAAGCGCATCTTTTGGAGTGATGTCAAACGGTGATAAAAAGTGTTCAGCTCTTATAAAAAATGATCTCCGGCAAAGTGAAAAAATGGTGGCACTAAATAAAAAAATAAAAGCACTTTTAGATGAACTTCTCCACTTTACTTTTGTAGCACTTGTTCAGTGTGTGTTTGCCTTAAGACCGTTATTTGTTTGTTTACCTGTTTGGGGGTGTTGTCTGTGTGGTTGGCGGGAGGGGGGGTGCTCTCTGAGGCGGGCTCAGACTCGGAGTGACGCAGGCTGGCCCTCTTCTTCTTGATGAGGTCTGCGTCCCTGTTATAGGAGAAGCCCAGTTTCTGGTGGGGCGGGGAGGCCCCTCTCCTGGTGGGGGACCCTGGCTCTGTACTCCCCTCCCGTCCCTCCTCTCCCCCGTCCTCCGCCTGCTGCTTCTGTCTCTCCCTCTCCGTCTCTCTGTGAGGTAACTCGCTGAGGTCTAAAGTTTTGGCTTTGAGCAGACTCCCCCTGTCCTCAGAGCTTGTTGCTGAGGCGGCTAACGCTGTGCGCGGCGATGGGACTGGAGGAGACTTTAAAGAGCCTGATGCTGGACAGCTGACTACCTCCGCCTTCCAGCCTGGCTCCGTCACCTCTTCCTCAGCAGCTTTCGTGCCGTTAGACTCGGGGTTAACTTCACCAGCGGCGTCTACGGGCTCAGAGTTAGCCTGGTGGTGCTGCACGTCGTTGATTTCAGCGTAGAACTTGTCCTGACCGATGGAGGCGTTGGTGTCCGTCTCAAAGTCACCCACTTTGTAGGTGCTGCGGCTGCTGTTGGCCTCGATCTGCACCACGTTCAGTTCCTCCCCGGAGAAGTGGGCGCGGATCTGGTACAGGTAGGTCATCACCGTGAGCTTGTCGGGGATGGCCAGCAGCACCATGTCTGACGGCTCCAGGAGACGGGAGATACCCAGGTTCGCAAAAACATCGTAAGCCTGCCGGGAAAAAAAAGAAGAAGAAAGTTACAGATTTGTATTACAGAGCCACGGTCATGTTACAGGAGTTTGAAAAATGGATGGGTGCCAATGCTTGATGAGATAGCAGAAGTCTGGTTTATTTTTCAGACATGGGTTGTTTTTGGTGCCTCCCATGCATGATCCATGTGTGTGTGAGTGAGAGACACCTTTGGCATGACTGCTGACGGGTCATGTCAGGGATGGTTGTCCCCGATAAGAGACGCAGATACCCCAAGACAGAGCGCTTAATCCCACAGTGTGTGGGTGAGAGTGTGTGTGTGTGTGTGTGTGTCCTTATCGCTCCCCTACATCAACCTGCCCACGCTCTCCGTCACGCGTGTAATTGGTCTGATTAGAGTCTGATGAGAAAATACAGGTTTGATTATCAAGCGACACACGAAACCCAATCCCCCGTCACCAGATAGACTGAGACAGAGAGAGAGAAGGGATGAAAACCATTATCGCAGCCAATGACAGGTAAATAAATAGATTAACAACACACACACACACACACACAC